TTTAAATATTACGTCACTTGAAGATGTGGATAAGAGACAGTATATATATTATGAGAAGAGGAATCCGCAAGTGTATAAACATTTTACCAACCGGTATTCCTACTTGCGACATTCAGCTATATTGCAGACACTTAAACAACTGAGGCATTGAGGATTCGTTGGGAACTCAAATCCAAACAGAAAGCAACTGATCATTCACTCTCTTTGGCAACACATGCTTTAAAATAATTCAAAGAAGTGACGCTGTATGTTATAGATCTCGGAGCGTCCAATCATATGCGATATTAGTGCCATACAAACATTGTTAGGTCAGACTGGTTTCCCCTTTATGGTCAAGTGGTTATGACATTTGAATGTATGCTAAAAATCAGTGGCTCGAGTCCTGGCTAAGGTGAATCTGTACGATTACTCTTCTGTTACATTTCAAACATTCATTCGTTAAACACCGTTGGATATAAGCTTTACATCTTATAGAGCACGTTCAATGGATTTTCTTGCACCATTTATCATTTGTAATATAATTCCCCTTGCAATATAGATTTTATCTTGTCCTTTTTTGTATGTTCATTGTGATAATGCGAAATAAATCTAATGAAATATGTTTTTTGTTATTCCTACAATAAATTTTCATTTTACTAATACAGACATAATGAGTCCAGATAATGTTGTTTTGAGCATTGCATTCTGCCGTGCTATAGCAATCCATGATTGATTGACGAAATTAAACTGTTATACTATTATTTTACAAAATACATTAGTACCGGTGATTACATGTTTTTATATGAAAAATCAGTAGGATGAGAACTAACACAAACCAAGAACTACAATATATAAATGCTATAACAATGTAATTTCAATGACAATTGTCACTCGGGTATACTCAAGGTGGGCTTCATTGTAAATTGTTTCCCCTTGATGTATTTTACAAGATATTTTTGATTTCACTGAGCTGTAAAGCGCTTGAAAAAGAATCATTTCAGTTGAATAAATCATCATCAGCGTCACTTTTCCAAGCAGAGCGTCTGATCGACCCTTAAATAAATATTTCGACTTAGAGCGAGCGACTTTTTGTTAAACAGTGCATTCATAAGATTTCGTTTTTTTTTCTAATTCTGTTAACTTTGATTATTTTGATTTTTTTAAGACAATATAGCATTTGTCCAGGTTTGTTGTTTTTGCACTAGTTTTTCGGCTGTTTATGTAAAAACCACAAATCGGCGTTTTTACTTAGGTATATCATTGCCAAATTTCTACCACGAGGATGTTTCTCCACTCAGCAGTTTGTCACACTTTCCTTTCCTGGCATTTGGAGCAGTGACATCTGCGTTAATTTTTGTTAATTAAAAAGCATATGGATAGACATTTGATTCTACAAATTCCTCTAACGGATTGTTGCCAATTGTCAACACCGTTTTTACAAGATGTGTCCACGCTATCAAGTTATAAATACCAGTGATTTGCTCATTATATTGGTGTGATATTACATCAATACGTCTTTATGAGCATTCACCGATGTTTGCCACTTTGAACTTGCTATAGCGGACACAGATTTTTAGTGGACTATCTAAAACTCGCTGCCACGATTGATTGGACACCACTACTAATGCTAAAAGGGATTGCGCACTGATCAAATCCTAATGCGCAATTTATTTCCATATGGTTTGAAAAAAAATCCTTATTGAATACAACGCTGACGTCACAATTTTCAATGTGAACCACTTACATTTTTCCAGATGTAACCAATGGCAGATTGAGACAGTGGGAAATGTCTTATGTTTGTGTATGCAAATGGCTAGAGTGAACCAATACGCTTAAGATTCGAACCACTAACCTCTCAGCGAGACTCACCGTTACGCCTGTAAACCGGGTTTCATTTAACGCTCTGGCAATTCTCATCAGTAGGTCTTCATCATCGTAGTTAAAACTTTCAAGCGATTCTGTCTCATTTGATTCGAGGCCTTCGATCACCTTGTCCAGCACTTGTGCCATTACCCACACCCCATCGTAAGCATAACCATGAAAGCGAGAGAAATTGTCACCTCTGGCCTTTTTGTAAAGTGTTTTGTATTCAAGGGCCGTCTATAAAGAAATTAACAGTACGTCAACAGTATATTTCTGAAATATCGTGTGACGAATAAATGAATATAAAATCTCAACGAAACATGAATCATCAAAAAGAATTAAAGAAAATATATAACATACAAAATATAATATGCAAACATCAATTTTTAAATATTACGTCACTTGATAAAATAAACAAAAGCCAACATTCAGATGTTGATGCAGATGGTAGTGTTATTGATGATGATGATGATGACAGTGATGATGATGATTTTTTTTTCTCAACAACCATAAGGTATGTATACACATGGTGTATACCGAAAGTTTTATAATGTTTACTCTCTCCATGCAACACCTTAAAAAATCTAAGGGGTTTTCCAGCACAGTTTCTTCTTTTGGAGACAATAACGTTTTTACTGATTCTGATTCTTCTTCTAATGATAATGATGATAACAACAACGATGATGATGATGATGATGATGATGATGATGATGATGATGATGATGATGATGATGATGATGATGATGGTGATGATAATAATGACGACTGTAAGGAGGGTGATTATGAACTGTGTTTATTTTTCCCTCTTTTTTATTTTTGAATAAATATTTATTGTCCTATAAAAACCATTACATTCTGTAGTTTTGAACAATTAAAAATACCAACTTTTCATTAAAAACCACAAACATAATAAATAGGCTTCTTCGTTGTCTTTTTGAAGTTTGTTGTTATAGAAAATTGTATGTGTTTGCCATTGTTAAAAAAAGCGTATAATTTGAAGACCAGCGCAGGAAAGGTACCTAACATAAAAGTTTAAATTTAGAATTGTATAGCTTTCACTGATATGCAGGATTACATTTCAATAGGCTTGTGTAGATCGATAACATAAGAAGGAATATAATCATTACGTTGATAGATTGAGTTAATCCAAAATTGTTCTAAATTGATTTGGGCCATTAGAAATCTTAAACATTGATTGTCTTTGTACGTAAATTACGCATTCAATCATGCATAATATTCATAACACAGATTATCTGTTGAAATAATTGAGACGAATCCAATTAACAAACCTCATAAGTTAATTCCGCGAAATTAATTCGATTCGTCAACTGATGCAATGAATTAGCTGGTTTTGAGTTTTTACAGTTTGTTGCAACTGAGTGAGTGGCAGCGTAGTAAGGTTCCTGCCTTTTGCAACTGTGGAATCCGGGTTCAACATCCGACCAGGAAATCGAGATAAATGAATAAAGGCTTAGTTCATCCAACCCTTACGATCTGATTGTATATGTTATATGTTGTAGTTGTATGGAGCTCCACTGCGGTTGCTGCGGTTTTCAGTAGCCCAATCCAAATTTTCAATTTCTAAGTTTCATTATTGGGGACAAATAAAATATATGTATATATTCTACTATGATTTTATACGTTTGGCGCACAGAAAATTAGATTTCATTAAACCAATGCTGTGCCCGTCGTTCAGACAGAATGCACAATTGAACATGAATTGAAGTGAACATTTGGCGCTACAACGATTCGCTGTTGAATAGTAGATGTTCATTTAAAAGAAAAAAAAGAAAACTTTGGATGTAAGCATGTCGGTTATTATAGACTTTAGTCGATTTTCTCCGTCGTTTAAGTTAACACTTAAGGGCTTGTACGAGTTTTTACATTGCTTTCATCTAGGACGCTACGCTAGCAGATAGAATAATAGTCGCAGTGTCGTTAATTCAGACTTGTTAAGATGATTTTGTTTGATAGAACAATTACCTACTAAAATCTAAAAGCCAACATTGTTACTGCGTCACTCAATATTTTTCAATTCGAAAACTGTACATTATTCACCTAATATCCCATTAAAAAAACCATAGTCCTGCCAGCTAGCTTGTTTGAACAAGAGCAAAGAGGTTCTGTTCTGTACATTTTGTTTTCTTTCTTCCCTCTCTCTATTTTGACATACACAAATTCACCTTCTTTGAGATTGAATAACACAGAAACAAAGTTTTGGCATATTATAAGTTCTAAAAAAAAGTTCTTGCAACGATTTAGTATAAATAGTCTTTAAACGAGGAATGTGCTAGTAACAAAGTTCAGACTAAAATTAGTTCATAAACAAATGTTCTAGAAACAATTGAAGATTATTGCACGGGTTTAGAAACGTATAAGTTTGACTATGTTCTCGCAAGGATTGAATACAAAACCTTGGTTATGGTTTACGGTGAAGAAGTTTCAGCAACGACTGAAGTTGTCACCAAAGTTCTTCTTTCTAAATACATCCTTGGTTTTAAAAACAATTGAGTACCAAACCAACGTTGTACCAGACTGAGCATGATGCAGGCGTTCTAGCAACGACTAGGTCAAAACTAATGTTTCAAGTTGGACATAATTGTTTTAGCAAAGACTGAGTGTTCACACCAGCGATTTTAGTTGAAGTATGAATGCTGTATTTTTATTGAATATTATATGTACGAGAAATATGATAGTTTAATAATTGGTATATGTATTATAAAATATATGTATAATGAGGAATTGGTTTTCTTACATAGCCACTTATGGTCGTTTCATTGCTGGAGCTGAGTCTCAGTATATCCGTAGCAATATAACCCCTGATTGTGCTTTTCATTTCTTGTTCTGAGCAAGCTATTCCGTATTCTTCTGAAGGACGCCACCAATTGTCTGAGTACCATCCCGGGAGTATCCATACGTAGTTTCTGTTTGATATTCCCTGCTGAAACACCTGTAATGATATTATGAAACTGCTTGGCTAAAAGAGCAATATATTTGTTTAGTCTCGCAATGAGCCTGCACTCCTAATGAATAGAGACATAATCACATTATTTTCCCTATAATGTTTTCCAAGGTTGCTGGGTTATTTTCCAAATTTTGTAAATTAAACTGGACAAAGCAATCAGCATTAAATCGTTTGTCAAGGCAAACAGTTCATTATATAATCGAATTTTCTTATAATAAATTGCTAATAATTGTATTTTATATCGATGTTCTCTTTCGAAAATTAGAAAAAAAGATTAACTAATAACGGTAATCCCTCGTGTATATAGACATACCTTGTACATGTACCACCAAGAAATCTCTTCCGAATTAAAAATAATTTAGTAGCGTGCATTTTTCCGTGAGTTATATTTCTTTTTCAGTATTATTATATTTGCTTCTGTGCACACAACACATCTGTACTTCCAAAATTTTAAATATGCCTGCCTTCGCATCTTCCAAATAGCTGTTTATGTCTTGTAGTGTTTAATATACCGGTAGTAGCGTGCATTTTTCCCTGAGTTATATTTATTTTTCAGTATTATTATATTTGCTTCTGTGCACACAACACATCTGTACTCTCAAAATTTTAAATATGCCTACCTTCGCATCTTCCAAATAGCTGTTTATGTCTTGTAGTGTTTAATATACCGGTATGTATATTACTATATATCTGCCTATAAATTATTGATCTATTATGAATAATTTCTAGAGAGGGCAACTGAAGCACAACGTTATCCTACTGTCGATCGGTAATGACTTAAATACAGCATTACAGTTTACTTATTCAGAAGGACTATACTTCAATACGGTGGACTGTGGTTTGGTGCAGTGTGGTGAAAACATGGATTTTGTGTAGTTTGGTGTTGATTTGTTCCGTGTCGTTTGGTTTGGTGTGATATGTTTGGTTTAGTATTGCTTGATACAAAGCAGTACCTGAGGCAGATGGAAGATTTGGCTATAACTGGGGCGTGAGAGCACACACCACTTCAGCCCCACCATGGTTGGGGCTGAGTTTAGAAAATGTTCAGGATATGGAACTCTAGGTGCCCCAGAAATTACACTCTCATACCTTAAAAATCTTTAGCGGTAATTCATAACAACAATAAAATAAAACAATTATTTTCTTAATACAATTTAGGTGGGGGGGGGTGCAATTTTACAAGAAAAAGAAGCATATATTTATATTGCCTTTAGTCGTAATATCTAAATAAAAATAGGCATTTTAAATACCCATGGTTTTATTGTGTTCGCAGCTTCCAAGACTACGCCAGCTGGACCACTATTGGAGCTCACAACGGCCCCATTACCATAGTAGAATTACGTCTCCTACTCCCTCCCGCTCCCATAATAGTCTTTCCTCTTAGGACTGGCACATCCACTAACAACACATTACATTAGGTCACTGGAATATATGGTGAAGTGTTTGCATTACACGGATAATAGACTTCTACATCATCCTTTAGTAAACAGTAACGCAAATAATGCACTACTAGGCTTACTTCTACTATTAATAATTTTAAATATTAATTTGGTCAAGAACGTTGGAGAATCCGTGTCTGGATTAAACCCAAATAAAAGCGACGCCACCGTGACCGTGCTTGAGTAGACAACCCAATACACAAGTGTCTGGGAAATACAACTCACGGGAACACTTGCTGTTTGCCATATCTCCGTTATTAACGACACTAAATACTTCTGCATCATCTAACTCGTAAGATTATATCAATGACTCTTGTCGGAGTATCACAAGATTCGGTAAAACTATACTCGACTCGAATATATTAAACTAATTTATCTTATCTGACTAAAATACAAAATGACTAATTACTATGATACATAATTCAAGAAGTTAATTTATGATAGGTTCCGACGTTTACAATATAATTATATCAAATGTTTTTTTTTCTTAATCTTCTTTTGAACATGTAATGTTCATTATTAATAATCAGTTGCACATCACAGCCGTCGGCAAATCTAGTACCGAAATGCTTTCATTTTGTAAATATTGGATTCACACGATCAAAATCAATCAAATAAGTGCGACAATGCGTGGCGTTAGACACGTCTCTACAAGCTCAGTCAGTTGAGACGGCAACAGATGAGTTTATTGATGACGTATACAATTTTGTCAAACATCACAGGTAGTATAGCTGCACAGTACAGCCAACAGAAAACATTGTTTGATGAAAGAAAATTGTCTATTGAGCTCAAAACTAATGCTTTCAAAAACATATTTCGAAGTAGTGAAATATCAAGAGGTACAAACGACTCTGCAATGGATAACTAATCGTCAATTTATTTTACTATAAATAGCCAGAGACGATATATTTCCATAAAAATTTCGTATAATTTAAATGTTTGGTTTTGAAAATATATTGCCAGGCCAAGCTTTTCA